CAAGAATAACATCAATTTGATGCAAAGGTAGACAGACCAAGTCCATCACAAAATTCTTATCATAAATGGTCAAAGGGCAACTCAAACAGACTAACGCAGTAGTCACAGAACCATTAGCCGAGGTATCAATGACCATACTCTCAATCATAACAAACAATTTCAAATTCAACTTCTTAGCACATTCAAGCGAAATAAACAAATGAGTAACACCAATATCAATTATAGCAATCAATTCAACATCATTAATAAAACAAGTACCTCTGATCAAGTTATCTGTCTTGGACTCTTCCGCACCACTCAAAGCAAATACTCTGTCACTTGTCTGAGCAGCAATAGTAGTCTTCTTCGGCTGCTGGCACTGGGTACTGATATGACCCTTCTCTCCATAGTTGAAACAAGTCGGGGCTTCGTATTTATAGTCGGTAGCTCTATGACCTCTCTTGCCACAACGGTGACATCTCAGCGCCTTACAATTCTCAACACGGTGGCCTTGCTTGCCACACTTATAACACTTACTTGGAGCAGTAGCCACTCCCCCACTTGGCCTTTTCCCATCATAAGCCTTCTGCTTCCCTTTATCACCAGAAGTCACATACGACTTACCTCTATACTGGCCTTTCTCTTTCTTCTCACTCAGCTGCTTGTAGTGAGTAGATCGAGCTCGGCTATCCTCGTCATAAATCCTGCTCTTGTCCACCAGTTCCGCAAATCTACGAATCTGCTGGTACCCAATTCCCTACTTAATCTCTGGTCTCAAACCATTCTCAAACTTGAGACACTTCAACATCTCTGCATCAACATGGTTGTAATGCAGATAGAACTTTACCAAAGACTCAAACCTTACCGCATACTCAGCCACAGTCATATTCCCTTGTTTCAGCTCAAGGAATTCCACCTCTTTCTTTCCCCGAACATCTTCAGGAAAATACTTCCTCAAAAGTTCTTCATTGAACACAGCCCAAGTTATTGCAATGCTTGCAGATTCCAATCTTTGATGAGTGTTATCCCACCAGTCCTCAGCTTCCTCTGCTAGCATATGCGTACCAAACTGCACCTGCTGAGCATTAGTGCACACCATAACTCGGAAAATCTTCTCAATCACTTTCAGCCACTTCTGCGCACCATCAGGATCATGAGTGCCCACAAAAGTCGGCGGGTTGTTCCTCTAGAGCTTTCCCAAAGCACGAGACTCATCTGGAGGTCCACCATTATGAGCCATCACTTGGGCAAGTGATTCCAGCGCGTCAGCAATAGCACGATCATTTCTTCCAGCCATCTGCAACCACCAACAGGGTTAGAAGAAAACAACTCATCAATAGTGTTCTCACACTATCGACTGACAGAGGACTAACAACATAAAAACTTGCCCGGACGAACCAACCAGGCTCTGATACCACTAATGTAACACCATTTTCTACTCCACAATTATCATGGAAAAATTACACAGATATCAGAGTAAAATTGTTAAATTTCATAAAAGCCATTAAAAGGGCGTACATTTCCCAAATCAACAAAATTGGTCAAGGCTCCGTAAACAACGGGTTTTCTCAAAATAATCAATTCACACAAAGCAGCGAAACTCAAAGGCAAAAATCAAGGTTTCCTCATCAGAGAAAAATAAGCAAAATAACTCAATAGTATATAGTTTAACTCAAAAGAACCCAACCCGATGTTACATATCAGAGCAAGACCCTCTAAGCTTAACCAAAAGACTAAAAACTCAAAACTTCAAAAATACTTCTCGAAGGCGTCCACGGCTAAACTTGGTCATCTACACGTTACCCACGTGGAGGTAACATTCAAACAGGCAGGGTGAGTAAAACAATTCATAATAACCAATGTATAAAAATCAACATATAACGGCGTCATATTCATATTCAACACATTCATATCCTTCAATAGGCCCCGAAGGCCACAACATCATAATTTATACAAAAAGGCTCATAAATGCAAATGCAACATCGACTTAATGCATGTGGTACCAATCATCACAGTGCGATGGACACTGGGCCATCAACCCTCCATAGATCCCCATCAATAGGATCGATTCTACTAGAGAACCGGAGCACATCAAAACACTTCACATCCACACAATGGGATTGAAGTCAAAGTAATCGAGGTCCTGAACCGAAGTCCGGATGCACATGAATGCATGATGCACACGTCACAAATCATCCTCATATAACAACATAAGTGCATCATCATTCATCATATTCATCATCATGTCAATCATCATCACATCTTATATCATCATATAAATTCATCAAAGTCATGGTAATATCATCATATTAAGTCATATAAATCATCATGCCATCATGTATACATCACATAAAACTCACAGTCACACTCATGTCAATGCATCATAGAAATCACAGAATCAAACATCAAGGTATCGCTGTACACGATCAACATTCACGAAACTCTGCTACGTTCGCTGACATGTTTGCTAGGCGAGTCTGGGGCGAGTTTCTTCGCTAGGCGATTCTGGGAACAACATTGTTCGCTAGGCCAAAACCCCTTTTTCTCATAATTCTCCATAAAACCCTTAAATCAACCATAATCACATTGAAATCTACACATAGGAAATCATGAAAAGCTATACTCCCCATACCTTAAACGTTGATTCAAAGCCTTCACGAATCTGTCAGGGAATCTTTCAATGCTTCCGCCCCTAATTTCCTCTTCAGAGCTCTCTGGCCTCAATTCTTCACGGTTAACACAAATGAATCCTAAAAACCCTTCAGAACTCTCTTTTTGTTAAACCTAGACTTGGGCCAAATAATTGGGCTTTCTCCATTATACCCTCACTTACTCCTCTCAATTGTCCCAATTACCCTTCTTTCACTATTATTTATTTTAATTCATAATAATACTAATAAATTAGTATTATGTACTACAAATTAAATAAATAACCCACAAATTGCATAATGCTCAATAATTCCACAAAACACTAAAAATCACCGGAAACACCCAAAATACAAATATTCTCAATTAAATAAATTAACTAAAATATTTCAATTAAAAATTAGGGTGTTACAAGCAACCTTCCCCCCATCACCCGTAGTTTCCCGAACTTCGTTGACTCTGATTTTCCCATTGCACGAGGGAATACGTAGGCATAGGACGACGATGTCCTATCGAGTCTCCTTCTGCTTTCCCTCCCCCGTTTAGCAGTAGCTTTTAAATAACCCACCCTTTGATTAGACAACAAGTGTGGATCTCGTTGAGTACAACGGACGTGAGGGGTGCACATACCTTCCCCTTGCGTAACTGACTCCCGAACCCAAGATTTGGTTGCGATGACCTTATCTTTCCCTTTCTTTTAGGTTTTCTTTGATCGTTTCCTTTCCCTCTCTTTGGGATAAATAACGTTCGGTGACAACTCTTCTGTTTGTTTCCGCCGACCTTTTTCGCAATTGCGACACTCACCAAATGGAATTATCAAAGGATATTGATAACCTAGGTAACTTTTGCATGGAACTCATCAATTCTTTGTAATTGACCCTCACATGCTTGGATAATCATGTCTCTTTTTGAAGCTGAATCTAAATCTCTAACAATTAGAGAAACAACTTTAGACACAGTTGGTATACTGTATACATGTCCTTCATCGGGCCTATCTAACGCCTTGTATTTGAATTTATCGTACATGCTAAGTTGAGAAAGGCCAAAATTTTGAGAAATCTTAGCTATCTGTGAATGTGTAATATAACCTTGACTTGTGTTATCCATCCATGAGTCCTTTGGTATCCTAAAATAAGAAAAAATTGCAAAGTGTTAGATCACAATTAAATAAAATGAAAAACATATTACAATATTCATATGTAACCATTTCACACTTGGCCTAAAGATCAAATATCAATGGCATTGGTTCATTGATGTGTACAATGATGACATTAAATGCGTTTGAAACTGATAGTGAATATTTACCTACATAACAATAGTCATCCATAGTATGTTAGAAAAAGACAACAACAAACATATAATATAACAAAGTTGCATATATTTTGACCTGTTGCTTTAACTTTTGCATATTGCAACATTATTATTGTTGGTGAGGAACCGTTTCTTTTTTATCAAAATTAATGAACTTTAGAGCATATCCCTTCCACATTATGCAATATAAAGTGTTGTTTCTAAATGAAGGTGATTTTAGTCAAATACTTTAAACAATATAAAATTGAAAAGTGATTAAAAAATGCGCGGATTTCCAAGTTGTTAGACATATACTCCAAATCTCTCAACACCAAGTTCACCTGTTGCTTCTTACTCTCAATATTGATTTATGTGTATCTGATCTCTTCAATAACACAAATTATATCTGAATAAAGACAGAAGAGAATGAGCAATGTTATAAGAAATTGTAAAGAAGAATATGAATATTAAAAACCAGACATCTCATATAGTTCTCCCACCAATAAATTTCAAAACATACTTGTGTTCAGAGGTTTTGAATAACATATCATTGTGGTGAACTTGAAAGTTAGCATTGATATATGTATGATTAACTGTTAACACTGAACCAAATGATTTCTTAAGCACAAGAACAATCACATGAATATCATACCCCTGAAAGTCGAAGGAAAACAACAAAGAAATAATCAACATAATAGAAATAAAAGAATTAATAAAAAATCAAGTATATAGATAATGGGTTATCTCACTATCAATGAAAATCATCATGAAGTGTTCTTTTGTATTAAAAATGACGATCCATTTGTGGTGTATTCTTACCGTAATCTTCTATAAGTCTTTACAATCATTAATATTTTAACCATTTTAAAATTTATTATTTTTAACATAAATTATAATATAATTTTTTTACATTTTTTTTACTATAAATTAAATATCAACTGCGCCTAATATATATTTTATAATGATAAAAATAAATTAATAATTTAAGGAAATGGAACAGCTTCCGCTGTTAGCCACTGAATTGAAAAAACAAGTAGAAAAAAGTTCTCTCTTTCTTAGCCGTTGCCGCCTCTATCCCCAAAAACATGAAACCCCCTTCCACTCTTTTCCTCAAAACCCAAATCCCTTCTCCTATATTGCTCTTCTCAACTTCCAAAGGTACACTTTCCGCAAACCTCCTCTCCCGTTTTTCAAATCCCCGTTTTTCGATTCCAAATAGTTCTTTCTTTTCTTCATTTTTGCATAACATTTTCAATTTCACACCGTATATAGTTTGATTATAATTAGGGTTGATACATAATAATGCAGGAACGTTCAATGCTAAATTGCTTCCGAATTTGTGCTTCTGTAAGAGTATTCAAACGAGTTCGTATGAAGTTGCTAAAGGAAGTTACGTTCCTACTCCCACTGTGGATTTGCCAAAAGAAAATATTATAGTGGTATGGGTTGCTTTTACACAAATTTATTCGGAATTGTTTCACTTGTAAAATACTGATTGAATCAATTTTTAAGATGGAAATGGATTAACAAATGGCCTGGCCACAATATTTTATGCATTCAATCTGTTTTTCTTGTTTATCTTTAGCACCGACACCTCTGAAGAAAGGTGTGTCATTGTCGGTATGCAAAACGACGTTGACTCTTGTGATTATGGTTAATTTATCTATTCATTTTATTTGAGAAACGGTGTTCAAACTGGAATTCACTGTCTATTGGTAAATTCATGATAGGATGGTGAAGTTATTGATAATGGGCATCATTTCTTTGTTGTTTGGTAGCCTCAGTGGAATGTTTTGTTGAGAGAACTGAGCGAGGAAACTAGGCCAAGTGCTGAGTTTATAAAATGCTTTCACCTTTCAGGCTCGGTGTTTTGGAGAGCGCGTGCCATACTGTTGATTGGTTGAACCAATGATTTACTAGGTCAGTAGGCTAACCGAGAGAAAGAGGATCGAATATGTGTCCTCACATCCACATGGTACCTCCCATGCTAGAACGGCTTCCCTCACGCTAAGTGTAGTCAATATCGAGTGTTGGATTGTAAGACCTTACGTGCTAAGGATGCATGAGAGTGCTACAATCAGAGAAAATAATTTTCGTCGCCAATGTGGTCTAGATTGAACTTTTTGAAACATGATCATAAAAAAACGTGTTGGGCCTTTTTTTGTGTGCATGTATTTTAATTTTCATGTTTTTGCGTATGTGTGTGTATACATATGTATGAACAATCACAAATATGATTAACATGAATGGGAAATTATAAATTAAGACCTTAAAATGCTTATATGACATTAACTCCTTGATACTTGTTCTTGCTTTTTTGAAGCTCTGCGCTAGTATCGTGTTATTTCAACAATGTTTAGGTTTCCTTTAGACTTTGGAGGAATGAACCTTTTAGGAAATTTGGTGAATAATTGATTTATACTTTGAATGCTTAGGAATATAATTATTTTAGTACACCCTTTTGGAGATTAGATTATTATTTTAAGGTGATTGGTCATGTTAGGACAAGACTAACAGACGTTTGATTGAGCGAACACTTGAACTGGAACTATTAGAAGTTAGTTTGGTTAAAGGAAGTAGAGGAAGATTGAAGAAAAATTTAGAAGAACCAACATAAAAAACCTTGCTCTGTATGATTAATTGGAAATTTGGTTTTTGATAGAAATAAGTAGCATTGTTTGATCCTTGAAACTGATCTCACCTAACAAGAGGAAGTTTTGTTTTTGTTGTCTGTTTCTTTTCTTGTGTTGATGTATACTGGGGAGTGTGGATAATCAAAGGGGTTTGTCTCATATGGACATTATACTGAAACAGAAAGAGATGGGTGAAGCAATACTTACTGGACAATGAAGAAACAGAGAAGAAGGATGCTTTTAGACATAATCTCATTGTAAAAATTGCTGTAGCGGATTTATTTTAAAAATGGTTATCCTTGACCATGATTTCTTGGGATAGTCAGTGGATGTGATTATTTAATTTCTGTGTTATTTCAAGGATGCTTCAGTTTCACCTATTCTGTTTGTAGTTCTTTTTTAGCATGACTATGTTTGTGATATTGATTTGTCAGATTGAAGTGTCAATGCGTCATATTATTTTAGATTTTGGCTTTAACCTTCACAGCCTCCATGTTTTGATTTGTTTAATCTATTATCCAATGTCGTATTCTCTCTTACGAGTATTTTTATGGTGGTCTGGAGAAAATATTGACTAGTGTTCCCTTTTTAACATTCAAATTGTAGGAAAAGCCATCTAGAACAATTGAATCTGTTGGAGCATTTCAAAAGTTGCCTATAGTAATGCCATCTATTGACATTCTGGGGTCAGCACTGAGAAAGGCGAGGAGGGTTTCTGCAACAAAAGGTTCTTGGCTTTTGTTCTTCAATCCCAAATAGACTTTTCTGTTTGTATCCTAAACCCTGTGGTGGACTCTAATTTTTAAGTTCACACAATGTAGGAATCGTCAATATTGCAAAAAGAGAGAAAAACAAAGGTGCAAAACAACTTGACGCGTTGATGAAAGTATGTTGTTAAATCTTCTAAACTTGTCATGATTCAAGTAATGTCTGATTCAACTTCTATTTTCCATCTTAGGAACTTGCTGTTCCATTGAGGACGTATGTGGAGAGCTTTCCCAATAAAAGACACCTTCATCCTTATGAAAGGTCACTTATTGAGTTGACACTTGGTGATGGGTACTATGAAAAGGTATGTCACGAAAATTGCAGCGCAGAACTATTTAACTTTGAGTAGCACTGTTTTGACTATTCATCATTCCTATTTAAAAAAGGCCACATGAATACTTAAATACATGCAAACTTGTTTTTTAGACATTTTCTAATTGCAGATTTAAAATTGTTCTACAGGTGCTAGGGAATGTAGATCGTTTGAGGAAGAGGGTAGTATCTGTTGGAAAAGAACATGCTTCACTTTGTGCTAAGGTTTTATGTAGCAATTTGCATTTTGATTTCGACCCATTTCTTTGCTGAGTGTTTTTGGTGTACATTCTTGAAAATGTTATCTGCATGAATATTTAGAAAGTTTTAGTTGGAAAAATAGAAAGGAATCCTTTTTCTAGGTCTAGATGTCAATTGTGATTTATGTTTGTTAAAGGTATGGATATCTTATCTTCAAATTTATATGATTTTATGATGTTTAAAATTTTCCAAGGAGATCTTTATTAGAATTTTGTAGTCATCTTTGTTTCATCCTAATGTTAGAAAGCATTGCCCATGCCGGTCTTTTATTTTTTCTCTAAATTAATTATTTCGGGTTGAGAGTTCTAATGTCTCTATAGAATTATCTTTTTACTTTGGTGATTTTTCTTTTGTCATCCTTTGCTTTAACTTGTAACCTACTCTATGACAGTCTACGACAAAGCGTGAAGCAGAGGAAAGACTGAATGAGGTGAGGTGTATATCCTGTGAAGGAATATCTGGTTTTTAATTTCTCTGATTTCACAATAGATGTTGGTGTTATGCAGGGCCTTAAAATAATTGAAGAGAGTTTTGGTCAAGATCGGAATGTTGTTGAAGATTTGTTAAACATAGCGAAGGTAATCTGCTTTCCAGTATATGAAATCCTTGCCAGTCTGTCTATTTTTTTGGTCACCTGTGCAGTTTCTGTAATTTACATATCGCTATGCTTAGTTGAGTGGTCAGTGAATCTTATTTTTTCTTCAATTTTTTTCCACATGAGCTTAATTCACATCATCTACCTGATTGCTGATAAATGTTTCAGACTCTGAGGGCAATGCCTGTAATTAATTTGGAAACATCAACTCTCTGCCTTGTTGGAGCCCCTAATGTAGGCAAATCTTCTTTGGTCCGTGTACTCTCTACTGGCAAGCCTGAGGTATGCACAGCTGAATTTGAATAATTCTTTGTTAAAATCCTTACATACCCTGTTTTTGTTTTATGCTTCTTAGATGGCTTGAATTGAAATATGATCTTGCTAAAGTAACCGGTTCTTAGAAATTGTGTCTCATGCATCTCTGATTTGTTTATGGGGTTGCCAAAATATTTAACACAACTATATCAATAAGGATGCAGTTTACCTTGGTTGAAACTTGAAATTGCCACGGTGCTTCAGAAAATGCACAAGGGCCTTATATCATGATTACTGTGTTATTTTCCTTCTATTCTTAAGAGCATGGACTTTTTTACTAGACTTTGAATGCAAGTAAACTGATATGGACTTTTCAGACTATAACTCATAGGTCATAACTTGGTGTACCAATATTAAAATCAAATTTGGAATTTAGAGTGTTAGATGCAAATATATATTCTTTCCAACTCATAAAAAGTGTCTCATTTGCACTTTCTTTTGTTGCAAAAAATTGACACTAGAGAATGCCAATGATATTTATTATTTTCTTCCATTACTATTTATTGACTTCCACTCCACTAACTACAATTAACGAGAGTATTTTGGTAAATGATACAAATTTCATCATTAAAATCACCACATCAGATCATTTTCTTAAAGACCGCGCACTTTCCAAATATGACATTTTTATGAGATGGAAGGAGTAACCTTAACTGAAAAGGTTTATTTTTACTCAAACTTATCTTACAGAGTACACTTTTGGAAAGATAAAGGAAATACGGCTTAGGTTATTTAATCTTCCAAATCAGTCTGAACCACACTAACCCAAAATTGAGCCCCGAGTGAATCACGTTGGTGTCTCAATCATATCTATCTTCTTTTGAAGCTGAACCTAAATTAATTGAAGTCAACCATCCCAATGAGTTTGAGTTTGAAAATGAAGTGTGATTTGGAAAAAATCTGGTGTACACAAACAGGTCAAATGGTCATTCCAAAATCTATACTTATATGGATCCAAGAGTCCAACTCAACTCCTTCAAATAAGTTAACAATTTCCAAAATTCTCACCTTACAGGATGAAACTGATATCCAAACTTCTTAAGATGACCTGGACCTCCCAATTTCCATTAGAAAAGAATTTGGAAATGCACCAAGTTCCAAATTTCATCATTTTTATCCCTTGTTGATTGTTGTTTTCATCAGATATTAACCTAAGCTAGATTAAATACAACAAATGTTTTTTGCTTTGGGCTTCAGCAGATCTACTTAGTTGCAGAAGAGTTGAAGATTCCACAATCCATATAATCTTTTCTCGTGCTTTTTCCTTTCCTCTCTATCTATAATTTCAGATTTGCAACTATCCCTTCACAACAAGAGGAATTCTTATGGGTCATATTATTTTTGACCATCAGAAGTTTCAGGTAAACAAAATAATCTTTGACTCATTTGCTTTTATTTTTTATTATTTTTTATTATTATTTTATATTATTTATTTATTTATTTATGTTGGATATTTTCTCTTTTTACTACATATCACGTAGTTGTAATGGCATGCCTGATATGATTGTAGGTAACAGATACCCCAGGTCTGCTGAAGAGACATGAAGGTAAGATTTTTTATTCTTCAATTTATTTAGCATTTGTTCATCTTGTTTTGTAAGCCTTTATATTTCCAAGGTTCTTACTCCGGTTTTAGGATTAATTTTCCTTATAGGGGGTGTAGTATTGAGCAGAGTGGAGAATGCTGGTTATTGTCATTTTACCTTAGTTCTTTAAGCTCCTTCTAAAAATTAGGAGTGCTACATTTGTTATCCCTTAGGCTATGTTTGGATTGATGGAACATAATGGAACAGTGTGGAGCGGAATGAAATATAACAGAATGAAATGGAGTAGAGCGGAGTGGAATATATATCCCACTCCACTGTTTGGGTATTTTATCAATAATATCCCATCCCATTGCATACACCTCAAATTGGATGGAACCAAAATGGAGGTTTAGGTGGAATGGATTCCATCAAGTTCCATTCCGCTCCATCTATTATTTGCAAATCCAAACAATGGAATCTCATTATGTACCACTCCATTCCATTCCATCACATATCACCAATCCAAAGATACGCTTATGCTAAGTTTCGGAGTTAGGTTTTGGAGGAAAAGTCAGGGGAAGGCTTATTTTTCATTTCTAAATAAACAAAATTATAAGATATTTCTAAAATTGATTAAAAGGGTGATTTAAATATTATATGATTATCTATCACTCCATTCATTCAATTTTTAAAAATCTCAAATATTTGTCAAGGTATAGATAGACTCACTGCCCTTCAACAATTTCCTTTCAATACCCTCCAATCAATAATCCCTTGATTTAGGGAATTTTTATGGATTTAGCCTAATTACAAATTACAAACTACAAACTATCGGAAGATTATTATACTAATTCTTAAATACATTTCTAAAACAATACAGAAATTTCAATATTGTTATTGGATAATATTATGGATTGTTGGTGGATCTTAGTTCTACTGTTCTTCATAATTATTCTAATAAATTATAATTGATTTCTTGGTCTCTAGTCTAGTTTTAACATAACCATTCTTCCTTTTGTAATTTTTTTATTTGTTTTGTAATCGTAGATGACAGAAATAATTTGGAAAAGTTGACCCTTGCTGTCCTTCAGCATCTACCAACAGCAGTTTTGTATGTTCACGACCTTTCAGGGGAGTGTGGGACCTCACCGTCAGATCAGGTGTGCTTTTATGACAATTGAATTCTTAAAATAAGCAAAAATTAAATGCAAAGTTGATCTTTAAATGGCCACAAAAAAGGGTTGTCTTGTTTATTGTTTTCAAATTTATACCGCATGACATGATTTCCTTTGAGCTATTTATTAAACTAGTTTTCATAGACTGCAGCAAAGTTGTGTTGGATGTCACAAAACTTTTACTCATCTAGGAGCCTCTTTAATACACCTTATCTTAGAATACATATTGAAGCTTATCTTAGAATACATATTGAAGCATCCCAATGATCTATATAAGGAGATTGAATAAGTTAAACTAAAACTACCCCAACTGCCAAATAAATACTGGATGTGGTAATGCTTAGATAAATAAGCTTTCTGACCAATCATTGCTATCTCTCGAGATCTGGATAAGGCTCTCCTTGATAAGGATCATAGGACTATAACATATCTACAATCTAGCATTCTTATTTCTTTAAGGATGTCTAATAAATACATGCTATGTAAAATGACAAGAGGTACTATTTCTGAAATTTTTGGTCTGAAGGTGATTCAAGAGGAAATTTTTGCCTCTGATGACAATATCATCAACATAAACCACCTAATAAACACATTTTTTTTTTGGAGAAGCATGACAATAAAAGAGTGAGTGATATTCTTAACTTTGAACATCTGAGTTGAATTTCCCATACCAAGCTCTTGGAGACTGTTGGAGTACATAAAGGGAGAGTATGATTTTGCAAATAAATCAAGATTCCTCTTAGAACACCAAAATTGGGAGGTGCTCTATGTAAAATGTTTCTTCTAGCTCTCCATTAAAGAGTACATTTTTAATGTCAAGTTGATGTAGTAGCCAATGATGGATAGTTGCCATGGGAAGAAAAGGATGTACCAAAGTAATTTTTGTTAAAAGACCATAGATTTAGGTATAATTTGGCCACCAATCTAGCTTTGAGACAACCAACTTTTCCATTTGAGCCAACTTAGATGGCATACACCCATTTGCAACCATCAGTTTCCTCATTTCAACCATAGATTTTGGTATATCCTTGGCCACCAATCTATAGCTTTGAAACAACCAACTTCTCCATTTGAGCCAACATTGATAATGCACTCATTTGCAATCAACAGTTTTCTCTATTTGAACCATATATTTGGGTATGTCCTTCGGCCACCAATCTAACTTTGGGACAATCAAATTCTCCATTTGTTCCAACTTTGGTAGCATACATGATACATCCATCTCCAACCAACAGTTTTCCTCCTAGGAGGAAGAGGAACCAACTCCCACGTACCACTATGTTCAAGATCCTGTACATTTCAATCATAGTTTGTTGCCATCTTGAATGATTAAGAGTCATCAAAACAGTGATAATGAAGACAAATGAAAAATAAGAAGACAAACAATGATAACTTAAAAAAGTAATGATAAAATGAAGATTCCGGGTAGATTGAATACATTTCCTTAGAGCCATCGGAAAATCAGAAATTGTGTCGGGTGGCTCCGCTGTATGAGTATTTGATTGAGCAAGACATGATTCTTGTAATTCTTCAAGTAATGTTGGAGCAGAAATTGATAATTGGCTAGAAAGAAAGAGTGCTGATAATGATGAATAATCAAGTATCAAAGATAATTGATTATTGAGATGAACTTGGGCTACCGATGTTAATCAAGGTGCGAAAATCAATTGTAAATATTTTTGACAGATTATCCAAGCTTAGTAAAATGATGGCACAAATTCTAATCATTTTCCTCATTTCAAAGTATTCATTTTCACAAAATTTTATATTTTTAGCTTAAGCATCACGAAATTGTAAGTCCTACTGATCTAAACCTTGCATTGCTTGGACTTGAGCTTGTCACTTTCATATTTTCTACCGTTTAAATTGTTTGTATTTCGAATTTCAACTCTAGAATCATTAAATCTGAGGATATCCATTTATTGTGGGTTGCAATCCTTGCTTACGGTTGTCTGCTGACTGGTAGTTGGACATTTCAGAGAAATTTGGATACTCCTAGTTTTGTCTGCATGTTTTTAGCTTTTTGGACTTTTATGTAGATGCAGACAGGGACACCATAATAATCCATTAAATGATAATAAGTTTTTGTTTAAATTGATTGACTCATGTTAATTTCATAATATTCATTATTGATTTAGATTTAAAATTCATGTTTTATTTTAATTTTATTATATTTGTATTTGTATGAAATAATCTAGCCATATCGTATCTGATAATTGTTAAGTATGTTGTATTCCCAACTTATCCATGTAATACATCATGTTTACGTCTTTTAGGTGTAATTGGATTATAAACAAAAATTATAGTAATTGTAATTTTTTTGAAAGTTGTCTTATGGTAAGACATGTCTTGATGATGGTTGCTTATGCAGTTTTCAATATACAAAGAAATCAAAGAAAGGTTTCCTGGACATTTATGGCTCGATGTTGTCTCCAAAGCAGATCTATTGAAGACCTCTCCTGTGATATATGCAACAGAAGACCGTGATCTCACACAACATGAGCTGGAGAAGTACCGTAAAGCAGGTCCTGATGGAGCTATTAATGTGTCTACGACCACACAGGAAGGAATACACGAGGTGAGAAAAATCTATACTAATTTTTCGTTGAGTGTAAATGTAATGTTTTGTATTATGTAAGAAGAAAGTGATTGTTTGCAGTTTAAGAGATGTCCAATAAAACACAGGAATATCATGCTAAACACCAATTGAAGTGATAGATTCATAATAACATGAATAGTATTCGAAAAAGCATAGCAATATCTGGAATAGTTTAACGGCATCTCTTTTTAGGAGTTCAGTTTCCCGTCTTTTGCTCTGTTCTCAAGCCCCTGAACTTACAAAGACTTGTTTCTGTAGTACACCAATTCGTTGATTTTGGGTTTACTTTGGGTTTTGGACTTTGAGAGTGTGGCCAAGAAAGATACTCTCGAAGGACTAGCATGAAAGTTTATCTAAACTGGGACTGTAACTACATGATATGATTTGTGTGATAATGGAGTAAGAGCTGCATGTCGAAGCGTATTTTTTAGTAGTTTTTGTTGCAATCTCTAAGAAGATACCTATTCTATATTGGTGATTGATGTTATGCTTTTTCTTCGAGGTGGTGAAAAGAACCGAAGTTGATTGACTAGTTTGGTTATTGTTTTTATTGTGTATAGCTGAAGCACAGAGTGAATGAGCTTCTGAATATGCAGATGGCCAAGATCAGAGATGTAAGCAACAACCAAGAGAAGTGAAAGCTGCCTCTCTAATATTTATAAAGAAGTTTTCTGGTCAAATTGGGAGGTTGAAATCTTCATTTCTAAAAGTTAAACTTGCAGAAGTGGTTTCAGGAACCAGAACTGTAAGCAAGGAATTAGGCACTGTAGAGGAAGTAAACTGTGGTTACACTGAATCTCGCAGAAAGTTGATTAGTTGCAAAGTGAGTGAGATTTTATTTGCATATTGGACAATCTTTACAAAAACAAGATATGCTTGTTTCTTGATTGACTTTACTTTTGTTAGTTGTTAGCTTTGATGTATCTTAAATCCATAGTTAGAGTTTTCATTCTTGTTTGTGCATGATCAATAAGCTTTTGTGCTCTCCCAAAACAGCAGAATTTTATTGAAGAATTCTTTCATTGGTTCTAAATAACCAAATACTCCATCTGTTTTTAGTACAAGTTTCTTTGGTAAAATTATTTGTACTAAATTATAAATTATAGGCCGTTTTATAATATCAGTGAACTATTAAATGATATTTTTCCTATTATGTACTTAAACATTTTTTATTCCGTCTTCTTTCAATTTTTTAAATTTATCTTTTTAATATTATTAATAAAGAATAATTTTATAAAATTCTACACAATTTATCTTTTTCATATAATAATAATTATATTTTTTATATGTATAAAAATTTCAAAACAAATTATAATAAAAAGCGGCTGAGGTAGTATTAAATAAAATAATGCACCCTTAGTACCATTAGAATACAATACATATTTGCATGCTGTATTTAATGTTAAAGGACTACAAATCTTGAAGATTTTATGTTAACGAAGATGGAGAGAAGCAAATATAAAGTGAATAAGGTTCAGTTAAAGATTTTATGTTAACGAAGATGGAGAGAAGCAAATATAAAGTGAATAAGGTTCTTTTTAACTGATAGTTGATAATTTATACTTGAAATAGTTGATAATTTATACTTGATAAGTTAATTTGATGTGTAATTAATTATTTATTACATAAATATAAAATGACATAAACAAATATTTTTAATTAAGAAATGAGTGGTTTGATTATTTTATCATATTATATAATATTATTTGATTATTTTTTATTTAATAAAAATAAATGTATTAATAATAACATGCAAAAATGTTTTTTTAATATATATGAAAAATTAAAGATAGTATCAAAATGTATTTTAATGAGATTCATGAAATATAGCATTATAATTTTAAATTTAGTAATATTGATCTAAAATATTACTAATAAAAAAGCTTATTTTATAATATTCTACAATCTGAATTTTTTTCGTCTTGATTGATCTCAATGATTCTCTTCTGATATTTTAATAACTTGAGAATTATCATATATATATATATATATATATATATATATATATATATATATATATATATATATATATATATATATATATATATATATATATATATATATATATATATATATATATATATATATATATATATATATATATATATATATATATATATATATATATATATATATATATATATATATATGATCGTACTGAATCAGAAGGGAATCAATGATCTATCACGCGTCGTTGGTTTGAAAGTTGCTCACCGAAAGTATGGAGGAGGAGGGGGTGTACCTGAAACACACTCCGATGTAAAAGTAAGTGACGAGCATAGTGGAAGCAAGTACATAGAGAGAGTAAGAAAGTTAAGTTACCTGACCCTCTAGTGAAAAGGGTATTTATAGTGAGCCCCCAGTGTCGGACCAACGATTACCTAACACTGGGCTGGGCTGCCAGACCCAATGTTAGTAACTGCTAGGACTAACGTGGTGTCGTGAAGACCAGCACGTGGTCTTTGCCCTAGGGTAACTGTTCCGCACTATCCGGGAGGAGGAAGACCGAATCTCCAGGACGTGGGTAGTTACTTTATGATGTGTCATGAGGGACACGTGGAGAACGTGGGGGAGGCTCGAGGAGCTCCCCGGGCAGACTGGGTTCTGCCCGACGAAAGGGGAAGACGGGACTAGCTGGTCGTCTGGGGGTATGCCCGACAGTCGGAGGGCCTATGCCCGACGGGGGGAGGAACACTGTGCCCAACGAGATCTTGCCCATCAGTATGGTCCTACTGGGCCCAATCTTGGTGGGGTTGTGGACTAAGCCTAAGCCCAGTCCATATATATATATATATATATATATATATATATATATATATATATATATATATATATATATATATATATATATATATATATATATATATATATATATATATATATATATATATATATATATATATATATATATATATATATATATATATATATATATATATATATATATATATATATATATATGACACATACACATACGCGAGTGAGATTCAACTTGCTTAAAAAATAAGTTTTTTTTAAATTTACTCCATATCATAAAAGTTATGATTGTGAAGTAAATTACAAAAATTTATTTTTTCAGTAAATTGATCCTCACTATAACACACAATATATATAAATATATATATATATATATATATATATATATATATATATATATATATATATATATATATATATATATATATATATATATATATATATATATATATATATATATATATATATATATATATATATATATATATATATATATAAAAGAATAAATAATAAAAATTAATTTTTATTAAAATGATTGAGATATAAATGGAAGAAAAAATAATAAGGCAAAAGTTCCAAATTCAAAAACTATTACACAAAAAAGGCAAAAAAATAGTAGGAAAACTTACAAACTAAAAATAAAATTAAATGATTGTTATCAAACAAACTTTTTTTTAATATTAGTTAAAAAGATAAAAGCTAAAAGCTAATTTTTTTTTTTTTTTGGAATTAACAAACAGACTTTAAGTAAAAGTTGTTTTCAACCAATTAACTGCTTTCAGTAAAAGTTGTTTTGAATCAATTAACTGCTTTGAGAAGACTAAGAGATAAATCAATGGGTTAGTAATGTTAATAAAAAGTTACTTTGAATCAATTAATTATTTTGAAAAGAATGAAAGATGTATCAATAGGTTAGTAGCTGATTTCGAGGTCTGATAGTTTTAAATAGTTTTACTTTTAGAGATAGAAGTTAATTTGTTTATTATTTCAGTCAGAGTCAACTAAAGTGAAAAAAAAAACGCAATTAATCAATGGAAAACAAACGCAATCAATCACAACTTTAAATCATTGATTAAGATTCATTGCAATTTAAATTAATAATTAATAAAAGATAATTTTTTATTATATATCATGAGTTTCTTATACACCGTGCGAATTTTCTATAATATTTTTAATTTTTAAAAATATATTTTCGGACGCATCTTTTTTACATTCAAAGAAGACCATTCTGGATAGCGCTCCGTACATTTGGGTTTTATTAGTTCTGAAAATATATCTCCAGAACAATACCGTAGTTATATTTTCAGAACAAACTCAGAGACAGAATCAACACAAAATGAACTTTCCAAACTTAAAATGAGCATTCATAACATAAAACGAGCATTACAATAATGATTTCAACAGAAAATTAAATACTACATTTCAATGTTCTAGTGGACGCTTGCACATCTCCAAGATATCTTCGACCGATCTTCGTAGTGTCGCTTCCATTTCGAGCGAAACTTTTTTTTCGAAACCGAAGAACGTTCGCCAAATTGCCATAGCACTCACTCGAATCTTGAGCTCAAATTTGTTGAACATAATGTTCCCTTCGTTGTCAACTGAGGGTGATCGGTACTCAAACTTGACAATCCTACGTGTATCTCCATAAGGTAGGAGATAATGGATTTCGTCAATGATATTGTCGAGGGAAGTGAGATCGTGAGCTTTAACGTCCTCCCGGGTGTAGAGGCGCCAGAGTAGAAGACACTTACGACATATCAACAGATGTTTATTTCACACTTTTGAGACATTTTGAGTTTGTGTGAAGTATAACATAAGAACACTCAAATTTATAAAAGATCTAGTTCAATAAAGACCACTCATTGACTGTCATTCATACTCCGAATATATATTTTCGAAACGACACCCTATTATCTTGTTCCGGAGATGCATCTCCGGAACTTTTCCTGAACCATTAAAAAACAAAGCAAATAATAGAACCTTCTGGAGATGTATCTCCAGAACTTTTTCTGATACATTTTCAGAACATAATCAAATTACAGAGAGTTAACAAAGAGCAAATATGCACCAAATATGAACCAAATGTGCATAAACACCAAATACGAATAAAAAGTGAATATGTAATACATTATTTATAAATTGAGACACAATACCATACAATTATTTGTCCGATTACACAAGAAATCAAAACGAATCGAAACATGTGTCGCCGACTAAATCTATAGGTGGTACCCCCTTGTACTTTTGTGCATTCGATTCCTTTTCAATGTTGTTCAATATTTTGAATTTTTGCATCCTTTCCATAAAATGATCTGGCCACGTCTCAACATTTACGGTTGAATGAGTCATTCGTTCTGGTGATGTAAGTGGCATGAGACATCCCGGTTTCAAGTAAATTTGAACACAATGACTTGATTTTGAAAGTCATCCAATACACATGATGCAATCATTTGAATTTTGAGGTGGTGTGGTGCGGAGTGGAAAAAAGGTTTCCGAAAACACGTAGGTATTAGGTCAATGCACACCCTATCATATGCACATGCAATTAGGTGACCCATATCAAGGAAGGTCATCCATTTTGACTCCGGTGCCGGAACGCTCAAGCAAGATACAAGAGACTCATAAACCGCATCGAATTTTTCTTTATTTCCATATAAACGCATGTATGATTCTTTATGCGTCTTCAAATTTTGGATAAGTTGATGACAGATAAGTGCATGACTATCTTCTCCTTTACCAAGTAAATTTGAAACAGCTCGGTATCCGCAATTACCGTCTCCCTCAACATTGACGATACAATCGATATATTTGTGCATAAAAAATGGCATCTCGTCAATGAATGCAGTCTTCGATGGAAGCAGCGTCGGAGGTGGTTTGC